GGAAACCCACAAGGGTCGTATTTGATTGGTTTGAGTTTGGTTCATAAGGTCAAAAGTATTAGGAGGTCACAGGTTCAAATTCAAGAAGAAATAAAAATCCCCTTGTGGTCACGGAGGTTCAAATGCAGTGACTCCGGACTATCTGCAAAGCAGGTGGTCGTCATGAGATTAGTCGGCTCGTATAGCGATTTAGATATTCAGGCTAATTAAAAAAAATTTGAGTCGTTTTTCACGTGTGTCAAAGAAAAGGTGGTGAATTTCCACAACAAGGTTTCGGGAAATCAAATCTATGTTCAGCTATCTGGCTATCTTTCACTAGCACACTACAATTAATTATTCCATAATGGCTATGAGATCGGTACGATGGAGGGTAACGTAAACCTTTTTCTCATTTCAATAAATTAAATATAAAATTAAAACTAAATTCAAAACTAAAATAAATGAAAATCTGTGATTAAACTGCTATTTATCGATATAATACTAGATAGTTATTATCTACATGCTAAACGAACGAGTTAAACGAACATAAATAAATATTATTTGAATTCAAAATAAATAAACAAAAGATTATATATTAAATTTAGTATATAAACGAATATACACAAACATAAATGAACGAACGAGACTCTTGTTCATGTTCGTTCGTTTAACTAAACGAACAAAAAAATTTATTCATGTTCGTTCACTTATTAAATAAACGAACTTCCCACCAAACGGTTCGCTGAACTTTCGATTCGTTTACAACCCTACTTATAGATAATTAAATACTTATCCAATAAGTATTTTTGATAAACGGTATCTGTTTTAAATCAACAAATCATATTTATTATTGTGCTGGAGTTTCCTTGAATCATGTCATCGAAATGAAACACCACGTCATCCTTTCCTTAATTAATGACAAGTAATCATCAAAAAGATCATCCAGTTTTCTACATTTTTTAGTGTTTATATAGTTGGTTCATATATTAGTTTCAGTTGAATTGTATATAATTAACGTAAACGACACTCTAACACGAATTAAACTGTATCATCTGTCTGTATCATAATTCGATCAGATTTAAACATCTTTTCGGTTTAATTGATTTCCGAATAAATTCAAGAAGTTAAATGAAAGAAATTATATATGTAATTGAGTAAAAGACAAGAGAAGTGGATTTTTGGTCATTTTGTTCATCATCCCTCCTTTTGTCCAATTCTTTAATTGTAAGCCTTTGTTCCAAGACCCCATTTTAAGGCAATTTTTGTTTAAAGTAGATTTGATGTCTCCTTCCCATGCCAATCTTGATGACACCCATCCATATCTCATTATATGGTTTACCAAACGTTTATCTGGGTAAGCCGTTTATCAAGTCGTGCTACCTCACTGGATGGATATGGTAAGGATCAAGAATCTTACCCGGTAAGAACGAGACAAGGACCAAGAGTCTTACCCGGGTAAGTGAGGGCGAAGACTCCTACCAGGGTAAGAACTTACCGGGTAAATTCTTGCATACAATGTCGTTTTGGTGGACTAAAATCTTACCTGGTAAGTAAATAATATTGTTAAATTTTACGGGTAAGTGTTTGGTAAACGCCCCCTAAGCTTTTCTCCCTTCTTTCTTTCTAGTTTTCAGTTTTTGAAAGTTTAGGGTTTTTAAATATGTAAATATTTGGGTAATATTAAGTAGTTATTTGATAATGAATAGTGACAGACCCAAGAATTTTCTTGAGTAGGTGCATCTTTAAGGTGGATCAGAGGCCGATAATATCACGGGTTTGAGCAGAGGGAAATGTTGACGCTGTTTGACCTGATGGAAAGTCAATTATATCGATTTATGAAATAATACATTTTTCAAATTGAATCGACCTTAACCTTTTGAGCAAAACACCAGACTACATCTTATGTGTTTTTAGCTGAATTTTACTTGTACAGGAACTTTTTTGGTTTTTGGTTGATTTCATAAATTTTTCCAATTTTTGGTATTTAATATTGACTGTCCTTTTCTTCTCGGTTTTCGATTTCGTTTCTTTATTCATCTCTAATTCCTGGAATAAATAGAATGTTTTGGAAACCAAAATTAATTATGCATCTTATTTTGATTTCAAATGTCTCAGGTTCAAACCCAAGAAAGAATAAAAATCCTCTTGTGGTCACGGAGATTCAAATGCGATAACTCTGGGCTATTTGCAAAGCAGGTTAGATATTCAGGTTAATAAAA